AAAGTTGAAATTTTGATGATAATTTGTTGAATTTTCCTAAATTTTTTTATAAAGTTTTAAACTAGGATTTACACGCTTTTTTTAAAGCTTAGATGATATTTTTATATAAAAATAACAAAAGAAATTTAGCTGGAAAAACATTACGAATATTTTAAAAAAATCAACACGTGGTCATTTGCTTGAGTCACTGTATTTATTACATACGTAATTAACAATAAAATTGGTTTAGCCTACAGACCAACATCAGTAGTTATGAGTCTTTTTTTAAGCACAGTAGTTAAGGGTTAAGGTTTTTTTTACACTTATGGGAAAAAGTGATTTTAGTAAGTTTTTCAGTGAAATTTTCGAACAGCACGAAATTTAACTTAACAGTAAAAAATCACTGCGCACAAATCAAAATAGGCGTCGTCGAATCAACGAACATGGGCGTTCTTCTTCTTCTTGAGGAGGCCTTCCTCTTCCCCATGGGCCTTAGCATATAAGAAATAAGAATTGCGTTCTAGGGTTAATTAACGACCAAAAATTATATTTTTTTATGTACGATATTATTTATTAGAGAACGTGCGCTCAGTTTTCTCGTTTGGCCCACCAATGATTCGAGGTTTATTTGGAAATAATCAACAAATCGATTAGCGCATACTTCAAATACAAATACATACATAACTTCTAATAGAAAGAGAGGGTATAAAATTATGGTCGCCGCGCATACTAGAGAGAAAAGGGCTGCTAATACAAGGCGGCAGGAAACGAAGGCATTTACAATTTTTGGAAAACCAATTCGGAATACACTTGAAGTATTGGAGACTTGTTTGCGCCACTCACTCTGTTTACTTGCGGCCGCACAGTAATGCGACTGCGACGCTGGCAGAGTAAGCGTTGCAATGGAGTGATCGCGCGAATTTTTGGCGCTTTGTAAGTGAGCGCCAGAGCTTTTGTGCTGAGCGCAGATGAGTTTTAGTGCATTTGGTTAAGCTCCCTCTCCCAGACGCACCCGCAGCCTTTGCTACGGTACTGGTTTCCGGAGAAAACTGTGGGTTTTCCGCACGAATTTCAAATGTGCTAAGCGACCACTTTCCCCGCATTGCCCAAAATACTTTTTCGCCTACGCCAGCAGCGATCGCCGCTTTTGTGGCACATACAGATGACGCGCAGCAACGCGGTCGCAGAGTGACAAACCTCAAAGACAAATAAATAAACAACAACAACAACAAAACAGCAGCGCGTCGGCTGCAACAAAGGCAAACAGAAAAGCACAAATTTGTGTAAAAAAGGAGAAGCCTAAAACGTATAACAACAATAAAAACAATAGCAGCAGCAACAGCAGCAGCAGCAGCGTCAACAACGAAGTCGGTGCATTGACGGTTGTCGTCGCGACAGCGGTAGCGGCGCATAGCAGGGAATTCTCCGATTCAATTGGACAAGCTGACTGCACTTTTTTGCGAATTCAGTTGAGTTTTTTAATTCGATCAGCACAGTAAAGGTTCAGTTACTAAAAAGTTAGTGAGCTAAAAACGCATTCGCGGCAATTTAGTGCGCCCAGCCCGAACGCAAGCATTACAAGCGTATACATATGTATGTACATATCTACATGAGATACATATGTATGTATGTATGTGTGTAGAGTGAGCCTACGGACGTTGCTTACTTACAAACAGATACGTTTAGCTGTTAGCGCTTAGCTTTGCTCGCACTCACAACGCAAGTGGACTTGTAATATATATTTTTGCGCAAGAAATGGAATATTTCTTCGCCGCACAACAAATTTAGTCGCGAAGCAAATCGCAAGGAATTCGGAAGAAGCAAAACAACAAGCTCATTTAGAAATAAAAAAAATTAAATGTGAAATTGTAATTTAATATTACAAAAAAAATTCAACTCAACTGTATAGCAGAAGTATAGAAATAAACTGCATGAAAAGTGAATTGAAAATATCCTAAGGATTTTAGCAAGCAAAAATAAACTGTGCAAATTAATTTTTTTTTTAAATATGGAAAAGTGCAATTCACAAAATTAAAAAAAAAAAATTTATGTATATAAACTAATACAATATAAGAAAAAAAAAATTTCGCCTTACAAACAGGCATACAAAAACAGTGCAAAAGCTTGACTAAAGTATTTCGAACTGAAATGATAAGAAATGGAAATAATGTTGCCAAAAATATTTAAGTATTTTGCCAAAATTCTACTGATTACGTAGAAAAATAAAAACAAAATGTAAGTATATATATTTATCTAAATTTCCATATTTCCAAAGAAAAATTGGAATGCAAACTGTTTTAAAAATTTCAAAAAATTCAAAAAAATGAGGAAGTCATCAAATCGTCGGAATATTTGTGTGTATATATGATGCCGGATATCTTCCGACTACGTGAACCGTTTTTGTTTTTGTTTTTTTTTTTTATCAGAAAGGGGCGACCCATAAATAATAAATCGGGTCGGTTCCGCTCATTGCATCCTGAAGAAACTAACGGTATTCCTAAATAGCCTTCCTCCTTATAAAAAGCATTGAAGTCAGTTGTATTGTTTGCTTAAAAATTGCTTGTTTAAATTTTTCACAATATTAAAAAAAATATATATTTACTGGGATTTTGAAACAAAAATTACCTAAGTTTAAACTACCAAAGCAGCTGCATATCGAGAAAAATTTAGCAAACTGAAATCTCTCAACTACTGCTGGTGAGGTTTAAGAAAGTAATTTTTTATAAATACATTATTGATAAAAGCGAAAATATCTGTAGAGTTTAAAAAACAAGTTAAGTGTTTTTAGAAGTTCTGATTTTAGAGGCGAAATAATAATTTTTGGGAAAAAAAGTTTACATTTTTCTTAACTTTCTTAACCCTTCGGCTTTATTTCTAATTTACCCCTTTTTACAATGTTTTGGGTAATTTTGAACCAATAATAGAAATTAGTAAGATTTATGGTATAAATTAATCATTTTAATTTAAATTCAAGGTTTTTTTTTATTAATAACTAAAGAGTTTGGAAAACATTTATTTAATTAAAAAAAATATATTTTGTGTATTTATTTAACTTGTTGATTGCAGCCACTAGGTAAAGACTATGTTTCCCAGATACATGACAATTCCATACAGGGTTAGTTTTCTGTCCAAATAAGATATAATCTATTTGAAAGAGTCAACAGATACCAGAAAATCTGAGATTAAGACGATGTGAGGGTTAAACGAAAATAATTTGCTATCATTTTAACATCTTTTAATCGTTTCTTCTGAGCCCAAGGGAATAAAAGAGTTTGAAATCGAATTGAGTGGCTTTGAAAGCTTATATGTATAAACAATGCGGAGGATTTGAATTGGTCTTTTGAGAAGCTATATGAGTTGGGTCAATTGTGTCGCACCGGAAACAAAAGGTTAAACATTATCTATATATAAGAAGTGCCCAGACATTTATGTGAGGCGTCAAATTAGAGGGTTTGGACAGTATAAGGGCAAGCCGGGTTTTCTTTTTTGGAGTTTGAAGTTTTTTTAGCTACACAGGGTGATTTAAAATTTAATGAAATGAAAAACCGACGCCCTGCGAGTCCTCTCTTCACTCAGAAACGGCTGAACGGATGTGGATGAAATTTGGCACACGGTTTGATTATATATAACTCTAACTAATATTTCGAATATTTTTCAAGTTTTCGAAGAGGGTTGCCACCTTTTTAAAAAACCTATTTTAAATTAATTCATGAGTATCAAAATGTGGGTGCCAAACGAAAAGGGTTTAAGAAGAGTGCAGTTTGAATATATTTTTTGAAGAAACTTGCCACCTGTTTGAGAAGTTTAATTTAAATAAATGATATACAATTTGCTTTAAATATTTCAATATTGTGTCAAAAAAGGGAGTACTAGGAAAGTAGGTACATGTGGACCCAAATGGACCCCGCGATAGTAGTTAAATCTGCTTATTTAGTCAAATCATTTAAACAGCATTTCTTGGCGATTTTATTACTAAAAAGGTTTTTTTTTTTTAATTTGAAAATAAATTAGTTTAGCTAGGAGCTTTGGAAAGGCTCCTTCAATACTGATTCCTTATTTCGCCAGCTTCGATCCCTCAATTCATACCCTAATCATGACCGCACGCATATGCACACTCATACGTACATAAATGCTCAATTCAATTCTCTCATGAATGAAGCATTAAACCAATAAAAAAATATTATAATAAATTCTATAAATTATTTCTTGCGACACAACCACTCATACAAACCTACATGTACATATGTACATATGTAGATTAAAACTCTTATAACTATGAAAATATGTGCCAGGCAGTAGGGAATTTTGTTGCACTGATCAACATAGCAGTCTCGATCAGGCAGCCACCCTTCAACTGCACAGCTAGATGCCAGTACTAGGAACGAGTACATACATACATAAGAGTGTAAGTATGTACATACATACATAGAGTAACCGAAAAGTTCTCGCGGATGCACTCTTGGCAAACTTTATTTTTATCAAATCTCTTTTGTGCATAGATTCATCGGTCATATCGTTCTTTGTTCATCCGTTCGTTTGCTATATTCGCTTCGTAAGCTTCTAGATGTGGACTTTTTGCTTTTTTTGTATTTTACATGCATGCCTCTTACACACTTCTACTTCTACTTCAACTCGCTCGCCTTGCCTTGCCTTGCCTACCTTCTCGTCCATCGAAATGCATTGCACTGCACTGCGCACAGCTCCAAATTGCAGTGCTATGGCTGCAGCTGATGCTTTGCCGTGTTGATCGCCTTCATCATCAGGTTCATCGAGCAGCATACCACATGGAAGGACATTTGAGTCATCCCTACCCCCATCCGCAAGCGCATTTCTGCGGCTTTTCGATTATTTTTTTGCATTTAATTTTATTTTCTTTTTTGCGCTCTTTCGCCAATTGCCCCTGCCTATTTTGCTCACCTCTTGCAGTTTCTGTTTCCGTCAATTCGCATTTTGTTTTTTTTTTTTGGTTGCATTACTAAATTCGCTTTATTTTTTATATTTTATTTTTTTTTTTTTTGCGATTACACTCCCTTTTTGACTTAGCTCGTTCCCTATTACCTTTATGCTCTTTGCTTTTTCGTGCTTTCATTCGTTGTTTCTTTCGCCTGTCCGTCGTTCCTTCGTCCATTTGTCTGTCCGTTCGTACGCTTAAAGCCAACGCAGTTAGTTGCTTTGCCGTCTCTAGCCAAGGGGAATACGCAGGCTAACAGTCAGCCAGTAGTTAGTGAAAAGATGCTTTACACTGCAGATACTCGACTCGAACTGCGGCCTTTGCGAATTTAGTATTCAGTTTGACATTTTTGCTTGGTGCAGCAACACCACAAAAACGGAAGCGCCACATACATACATATTTTCGATTGCAAGGAATAAATATGTAACACAAGAAATACCTGTAACAGAAAAGAGTGTTGTAAATAAGCTATTCAGCGGACTCGCATTTTCGGAATCGTTAAAAATTTGCAATTTAACATTCGTAAAATACTAAATTTTTGTATCAGTTACTGTGGAGAGAGTGGAGTGAAAACATATAGTTTTTCAAATAGTAAAACGCAAAATCCAAGTTGAAACCAAAGACCAGCAGATTGTGGTGTGGTGTGGAATCTTCCCTAGCGAAGAAGCGAACGTTTGCCGCGCAGGGGCGTGTTGGGCGCTTAGCTGTCTCGAAAGCATACATATTTAACTGTACCTTGCGGAGTGCAACGCAGCATAATCTATAATCTACATATAGCTTCAAGTGCAAAAGTAAAGTGCAATTTGTGGTTCAAAGCAAAAGAACTGTGGAAAATTGAGTTCGATCGAACACTCGCCTTGGAAGATTATTCGGTTGAATGGTGTCGGAAGCGCACTGCAGAGCAGCAAGTATTTTTTGAAGCTGTGTGGAGCAATAGAAGGCTTCTTCAGTATTTTTTTTTTTTTTTTAGATTTTTATTGCTTTAAAATACAACAACTCAGGATCTTGTTAGTGTTTTTTCTTGTTTTTAATTATTGTTCATGCTTGAGGGATACTACAAGCGATTTGTTAAACTTTAAAAGTCCATAGCTCAGTTAATACATCTACGTACATATACATACAATACATAAGTCAACTCAGGATTCCACAGAGGGTAAGTACCTAGATAAAAAAAAAATAATTGTGTCTTCATATTTCTACATATCTCACCGGCCAGCAGAATTGAATGTTCTCTAACATGATTAAAAAATTTTATAGTTGAATTGTGTTAAAAAAACTGCATAGGCTGCAGGTGAGATTTGGTGCAAAAAATATTTAGAAAAATTTAACACTAATTAAATGTCCCGTAAATTTTTTTGTGTCTCTTTAACGCGCACCATACCCAAAAAATTAAACTTTTTCGGCAGCACTGGTCTGAAATTTTAACAACATATTTTTGGGGTGTTGCGCGGAGGTGGCACATTTTTTAAACCATAAATATTTTCCTCTATTCCATGCGTAGCACCTGAACTTATTTATTTTATTTGTTATTTATTTTTTTTAATTTATTTATTTTTTTATTTATTTTATTTTTTTTATTTAAAAATTTATGTTTTTAATACTGAAAGTGTTGGAGTTAAAGACTTCTCTGAAAACGTTGCGAATATTTACAAGGAATTACTTCAAAGTAAGTTAGGACCATAAATGGAAGACGACATTTTTTTTTTTTGTTTCTGAAAATTAATCAGAAAATATATAATAGATATTGATAAAAAGAATATTTGCACTTCAGTTCAACTCCATTACGTTACCGCACACAACGGGAATACAGCGGCCAAAGGTAGTAAAAATGGATTAGCGAATTCTGGAAAAGCTAACTCCGACCAAAAAAGAATTTTTGAGAAAAAATTTACATTTGCAGTAATTAGAGGAGCTTAAGGTAGATAAAATGCAAACAAAAAATGTTTCACAAATAATTTAAAGCTCAGCTTTTGTTGCATAAAATGTAGGTAGAACTTAAGGTTTAGTATTCACCACCCTGCAAATTTCATTAAAAAAAAATTATTTTCTAAAATTTGCCCATATTTTTAAAGAATTGATGGGCGATAATGCAGACCGATTTTGATATTCTTTCAGTTTTATGGTTTTCTGGTTTAAACCAGCATATACTCTGAATTCCATCAAAATCGGATAACATTTACCATTTCCACCCACAAAAGCTGTGGGCGTGGCAGCGCGTCGACTTTTACCATTTTTCAAATGTCAGTGAATTTGTAGTACCTACGATTACAATTTTGGCCGCAGCTTATATGTGGACGTCCCTCTGTGCGTAAGTGCTCATAAAATATTTAACAAAAAGTGACGTCATTTGTTTGCTCAATCAAAAATTATTTCGTTTTGAAAGATTCTTCATGTCTTAATTTTTCGCCTACAAAATTTTCTTGTGTTGACGGAGACGAAAGCTTAAGAAGACGTCCAGCTTGAATTGGAGCAAAGAGCTAAAAAAAAAAAATTTATTGGCTCCTTAAAGCAATTTTTTCAATATTTTGTTGTTATTTTCTGGACGAGTAACGACTTATTTTGAAATATTTTATTGTGGTTTTTCCACAAAAATTTGCAATAATAATGTTCTCAAGCTCAATAAAAATTTAAAAAAAAAATTCCAGTTAATAAATTTACTTAAATTATGATTTTTTTGTCACTGATCGCAACCGTGTTAAATAAATTTCCTTATTTAACTTGCCTTTTTTTTTGATGCGGAAGAGTTCGTAGAGCATCTAGATGCATTTCTGCATCAAAAATAAAATTTTCAAAAAAATATCGCCTACATTTTCTTGGCGGTTAGGGCTAGATACGTAACTAAATAAATAATTTTTTTTTTTATCGGGAGCGGGAGTGGAGCAAGAGCAGAGCTCGGAGTGAAATAAAATACCGTAACGGAGCTAGAGCGGTGCGATGAAAAAAAAAAACGTTTAAAATGCGCTTCACCCAGGTTGACCAATCATTGGAAAAAATTTGATGAAATTAAAAAAAAAACAATCAAGTAAGCTCTCAAGTTAATTTCTGCTATCACTTCTGCTAAATGGTTTAGCTGAGGGGGTTGTGAATGTTAAAAAGAATTTTAAAGAAGTAGGTATGTAAGTATGTATTTACAAAAATAGAGGCCATGTGCTGTTGTTCTTGCTTTCACTTTCGTTAACGGCAACTCATATTAAATATTTCCATTCGACTATGACAAATTCATGTAAACATGCATGAGCATATATATATATATATATATATATATATATATATATATATATATTTATGGATTGGTTTGTTTGTGTGTGTGTGTTATGTTATGTGCATTTTACGATAGCCGATAAAAGACAAACGATTGCCAGTATCTGAGCCCAGCAGAGGATATATGCGCACTTGCATTCACCTACTTAAAATTTCTGCTATTTTTATAACCGCGTAGATATGTATGTGCTTTTCACATACATATATGTACATATGTATATGTACACACGCATATACATGTATTTATTAGTGTGTTTGCATAGGTAGGCTGAACGGGAAAATCACCAGCAAATCGTGCTAAGAGCAACTGGTTTCAGTTGCTGCATGCAACATTAACCACACTTCCCAACGCCAGTCTGCTGTAGTAACAACGTTTGTCTACTTGCTACGGCTTGCCTAGGCAATCATGTAGGTACTAGACAATCAATCGAGCGACCAAACAACATGTTGACAACGCAGAAGGAATGAAGCATACGGCAGGGGAGAGAAGGGACACAATAACGACCAGTGTGCAACGAGACTGCAAACGATAAGCCCGACGGACAACAATGATATCCATCCTCCCCACCACCGCAAACAAAATCATGGCGGCACAGTTGGAAACCGACATCCAGAACGAGACCAAGCCAGTAGTGCAGGCCCAGACTGGCCAGATGACAATGCGCGACAAGTACTCGCACATACATACATATGTACTTATGTATGTGTGTACAAATTTACATATCTACTAAGTACATACATACATACATACGTATGCAGTGCAACACCAGCGATGACGTAATGACAACTACTCCACTAACACATTTTTCTGCATTCTTGCAGCAACAGCGGCAACTACATCCTCAGCCAAATTCGCCACCGCCGCCGCTGCTGCGCTGCTGCTGCTGCTGCTGCTAGACGCCTAGTTGCATGCACACAAATGGCAACAACAAGGGCAGAAATGGCAAAGTAAAAGATAGTAGATGGTAGCAAATGAAGAAGTAGCAGAGCCGGCAAGAATACCGGCGGACAGATGATAAAATATAGCACAAAAACTAAAATTAAAGCAGAAAGCAGAAGCAACATTTATCTATGTGCATGTAAAAAAAATAAAATATTCAAGAATACTCGCAGCCAGGCATAGCAAGGAAAATATTCACACGAGTGATAAAAATTGCGCTCAGATGAAGGGATAGGTGGGGTAGATGCCAGACGATTTGCGGCATTTCGTGCGTACGTACGCATAGAGTCAGCAAAGTCAGTGCCATTGTCAATGCCACTATGCCACTGCCACTATGCCACTACCGCGCATACATACATACATACATAGGCACACACATACATAGGCACACAAATGCAATGCATCACACTATCGCGCGCTCCAACGCGCAAATACACAAACAACGGACAAATGCAATCCGCATGGAATAGACTAGACGCGACCAGACTAGAACTAGCAAGCAAAAGTCTGTGCGTACATACATATGTATGTATATAAGTGCATACACAAATGTGTGAGTAGATATGTAATGTAGATGGAANGGTGCGTACATACATATATATATATAAGTGCATACACAAATGTGTGAGTAGATATGTAATGTAGATGGAAACGCACACGACGGCCAACGAGTTGCAAAATGCAAAGAAATAACCAAATAATACTGCTCCAACATTATGCCAGCGTGCGATGCGGCGAAGGGGGGAGCTTTGTCGTTAACCAGCCAAACAACAACGGCAAAAGTCAGACACTCTATTTTTTTCTGTACTAATACAAACACACGGTCCAATACTCGCATATACATATAAATGTTATAGACTGTTTGTACCCTGCGGGAAATGTATGTATGTAATTATAAGTTAACTTGAAGTTGATTAGGAAGGTCACTATTTCCTGCATAATTTTTTTTGAGGAAATCTAATTATATATTTCTATGGCGATGACCGCAAAATAGTCAAGAGTGGTTAGCTCTGCATTAGATGTCAACTAACTTGTAACTAACTACTTTCGGAGATAAAATATCTGTAAGAAAATGTTTTTTTTTACTTTTTTATTTATTTACTTTATTTTATTACATTACATAAGTATTTGTTTACATATTCTGCCNTCTGCATAATTTTTTTCGACGAAATCTAATTATATATTTCTATGACGATGGCCGCAAAATAGTCAAGAGTGGTTATCTCTGCATTAGATGTCAACTAACTTGTAACTAACTACTTTCGGAGATAAAATATCTGTAAGAAAATGTTTTTTTTTACTTTTTTATTTATTTACTTTATTTTATTACATTACATAAGTATTTGTTTACATATTCTGCCGTAGGAGGTCCCGTATTCGAACTCCATCAGACATAACTTCAAATTGAATATATAAAATTACGATATTTAAATAGAAACTTGTTTAAAGAAACCAATGGTAGCTTTTTATCGGAATCCCACAAAAAAGCTAGCTCCAAGTTTCCAATGCAGAACAACAACCAACGGGACTTAGGGATAAAGAAAAAAGCACTGACGAAAAGACTATGGTGGAAGACAAATTTAGACTAACAAGAGCTTTCCAATAGAGAAAAACAACCAAAGGGTGTTCTAAAGTCTTAGGAATAAAGAAAAAAGCACTTACGAAAAGATAGAAACACTGTAAAGACTTCGCTGGAAGACATATTAAGACGAGCAAGAGTTTTCCATCGGAGAGAAGCCAACAAAGATTGCCCTCAGAATTTATGAAAGAGTAGAAAAACATTGACGAAAGAATGGAAACACTGTAAAGACTTTGCTGGAAAACAGAAAGCATATTTTACATCTTTAGTAATAATCAAGGCAATACAGCAAAGAAACTATAGGAAACATGCGCCTTCCTAACCTTAGGTAAAAAAAAAACTATTTATATAGAAAAGAGCAAAGATGGGGCCATGATCATACCATATACCTTTAAAGTAAAAGAGCCTTATGAAAAACTTAAAGGCCCAAATTTTGGTTTCAGGTAGAAGCACATTTCAAGAATGACTCATTAATGCTGATCTACCACTGTCATTATTTACAAATCTGTGCACCTAGCAAAGCCGTAAAAGGGGCAATTATGTTTTTAAGCTGATCTATAGTAAAACCGAAAGAGAACGGAATAAAATAAAGCAAGGATTAGCCTAGATTTTTAAGGTGGTTGGTTTCCTCGTTTTATGGTATATCAAATATGATATCATATGATGGCTTCTACATGTGTGTGATACCTACAGATCAAGCAGTTATATCGTAGCAAAGCTTTTTGTCATAAGAAATGCCGGGATAGTCAAGCTGTGCTAAAAGCGTTAGAAACCAAAGTAGTAAAGCTGAGAACTAACTATACGCGAACGTCGAGAGTCATTAGAAACCCTGAGAGACTCGTTGTTGGGCCCACTGACATAATTCTTAGTATTAAGGAAAATCTACGAGCAAAATACAGCCAAAACGTAAAGTTTTTTCTAACAGCGGTCGCCCCTGACCAAGCAATGGCCGTTCGGAGGCGGCGTGAAATATAAGTCCAAGCCAAGATCTACAAATTGAAGGAGAAGTTCGGCCAAGCGCTGACTGTTCAGGCATTTATTCGTTAATATACACTACAACTGCGGTTAGAGGAATGTACTATATACCTCTTGCCGACTGTCTCAGAGCGCATGCGAAGTGGGTAAGCATGTTTGCAAGTAGACACTTCATACATCTGTGGATATTCGAAATCAGAGATAACATTTTCGGTGATCCTATGAAATCGAAACCTACAACGTATTCAGCATTAGGCCTGTATACTTCCTATTGGGTAAGCGATCTCGGGTCTTAGTAAATTTCGCGATCATTTAGATTATTCGTCTTTCGTATGTATAAGTGTATATATATGTTAATCGTGTATACATATGTGTGCGGAACTGAAGAGCCTGCTAGAACTCAATGTAAAGCACTTATTGCGATGTAAGCGCACTATTAGTACGTACATACGTATATATGTACGTACATATGTATATGCAGCTTAAGTACATAAATTGTTTATATACATATCCACGCGAAATCGCATGCATACATATGTAGTTGGTGCTAATAATTTTTCAAGGTTTTGTATGTCAGACAAGAAAATAAACAAAGACTAATGAAAATAAAAAGGACCAAAAAGGAGGAAAAAACATTAAATAAACGAGAAAACATTAATGAAAGAAGCTTTGTGCGTAAATTGCAAGGCGAAGGCAAATGTAATATTTATATGTACATATGTATGTATGTATGTTGTGCACAACAAAAAAGCAGCAAGTTTACGATGCAAGCGCTGGGTGCGAGGAGGCGAGCGAAGAGAGAATGTAGAAAAAGTTATCAATTGATAATCGACAAAGCTTGCCAAGAAATAATGAATTGCGTTTAGCGGCCGAGTGGAAAAAAACTCAAGGAAAATTTTCGAAAAGAGGGATGGCAACGAGTGCATATGTGTGTATGTATGTATGAGTGTACATATGTACATATATGACTAGCACTCCCACAATGCAGCTACGCCTATAACGCTTCACACGCTTACGTTTTGTATTTTTTTCGACGTTTCAGCTGAAGTTAGTTGCATACATATGTACGGCTTCTTCTTCGAGCATGTGATATCTACCCGCAATGAAAGGAAGTGAGTGCAATTAGCTGCTATTTACAGTTAATAAATGCCACGCATTCACATACAAACAAACTCGTATTTAGGCGAGTGCATGCAAGCCATTTTACGAAAAAAGCCATACGAAGCAATGAAATAGAAAAGCAAAATGAAATGTATGCTCACAGAAATTTAGAAGCCACGAACACATATGTATGTATGGTACACACACACATATGTGCGGATATGCGCACATGCAATTTGTGATAGCCAGCAGTGCAATAACTGCGCCACAGTGCGCCATATATTCCCATAGGGCATTTCCGTTGGGTTGGCCTTGATCTCTAATTGACTCGTTTAAAATGTCGTCGAGCTTGGTTTTGCCACTGAGAAGCGCCGAGCGAGCGAGCGCACCGCACCGCCAAGCAAAGCAAAATTGATGGACATGGTGGCGAACTAGGTTGGGAATTGAATAGAACGGCACAGCAAATGGACTAAAATAAAAAAAACAAAAAAAGAAACTTCGCAACTCCGGCAGCCAAACAAAGAAAGGAAGGCGAGTAGAGCTTTAGCGGCGCAGAGGCAGTCGAATGTGTAAAAGTTTTTCTATGTACATACATACATACATACATATGTACGTTGTAGCTACTCGACAGTAAATACATAGTGCATACTAGCGAGTGGTGTAGTGCATTTATCAATATTTTTACTGGTCTTTTGGCGAGTGATATGTAGATATGTACATATGTATGTGGAACAACTGTTGCGCCTCAGTGGTCCAAAAAAAGATGTTCGCATGCATAGGTACCTTTGTATATACATACATACGTATGTACGTATGTATATGTTATGTACATGTATCCAAACATTCGTTACGACATTTGTAGTGTAGGCTACTAGTGAAATAATAAAAGCAAAATGCAGCAGCAGTGGCGGCAGTGACAGTGATAGAGGCAGCAGCCACAGCCACAGCTCCATTAATGCCGCTCAAGGACGCGCCATATTTCAGTGAGTAGATGCAAGTGTGTTGCCGCCACTGCAATGTCTAGAAATTCACATAAACATCCAGACGTGCCTGAGTGCACGTCGTACTGTGCATGCAACAAGCGCATGCTGTGTGCCGCATGGCTGCCATCACTAGGCTTCGTCGTCGTCATCGTCATCGTCGCCGCCACCGCCACCGCCACCGCCAGCAGTCACTCACAAATGCATTTGTTGCGCTGCCGAGCGAGTATTCTCGGAAACGGTTTCCAAGGCCAACCACATTTAGCCACATTCAACCGTACATAGGCAATAATACCTACTATATATACCTTTGTACATATGTACGTATGTACATATAAGTAGTCGCCGTTGCCGCGACTACATTTGCTTAGTTGCATCGAGTTGCAAAAATCACATGCACATGCATGCAACTATTGCGGTGGCAGCAATTTTTGATGCTGCTGCTGCCATTCCTGCTGGCTGGCTGGTTAGCTGGCCCTTTGCGGTGCCCTATTTGCTGGATGTTGT